TAGTCAGTACAAGTTGGTTTTGATCAGCTATTGCCTACTTGTTACAGTAGCCAGAGACCTATGGCTTTAATAACAGTGAGCAGTGTGGTACTGAGGAAGGCAATTGCAGTTAAAATGTTCTTTCATGCCCTGCTCTGTGTTGCTTGGAAATTACTGGCTGTTTTACTTCTGCACTTTAGAGCTCTGAATGCAATTGCAGGACACCTCCCACAATTCATGAACATTCTGTATTCATAGCAATTCAGACACTATAACTTTCCCACTAAATTAACTGCCTGGAGTAGGTTTCAAAATCAAAGGAATTTGCTAACATCCACAAAGACGCATAGTTTCTCTTCTACTAGAAAGGCAAATCCTATGAATGCAGAGAATCTACAAAGCTGTAGGATTCATGTTTATTACATCCCAGGGTCTATGGTAGTTTAGGAATCACTTAAATGTCTCCCTTCCAGTAAAGGGATCCCCAGGAGAGCAAAACAGTGATTTCTAAAAAACATTAACAAAAAGAAGTGGAAAAAATGAAGCAGAGCTAGAGTTTTCTGTTCAACATTTCCACATACCACTATTTCTCATTTTAGGTGAATCATCTTAATATGATAAAATGAATCATTACATTTAATATCTCGAAAAGGGTGGAAATATGATTATAGCTTCAGATTTTAAAGAAACTCAGAGAAAGATGGTTTCCAATGTTATTATTTATCCTATTCATAACAGATTTTATAGTGAAAGAAGCAGCTATAGCAGTACTTATAAAAGCAAACAAATTTGGGATTAAAACAATGAGTCATTTTTTTATTGACTTACGTTAATATACTTTAAGCCCCATACATTCCAAATATTCCATGCAGACTTTCCCCATATTCTTGTAATTATACTCCAAGTAGGATTAGTGAGCAAAAATAACATTAGGGAATACTGCTCTTTCAAACTGCTCCTACTTAGTTACCAGACAAGATAATAAAGAAAAGTGTGGGTATGAATAATCGAGAGTGGACATCTATCTCTGGCCAGGGGTCAATCCCAGGGGTGGCTTTTGATGCCATCTCAGTTTCAAGTCCCCCGTGGGCCCTAATTATTCTTATTACCAGTGGCCTTACCCCCTATATGTGCACAAATAATAAAACATAGCAATACGCCATAGAAACTAGAATTTTTCTGGAAGAAAAGTTATAATTTTGCTTTTAAAATCATTTGGCAAGAAGCCACACATTTAGTTTACTATTGGCTCTTATTTCTCAGCAGTCACTGTATATATTCAGAAACTGTGCAGAATGAGAAAATAAGACCTAAACGTTGTTTGCAAATGAACTGAAAAATTTATGAAGATTCAATTGACTGGGTGCCTCGGTGGCTCAGTCGTTAAGCGTCTGCCTTCGGCTCGGGTCATGGTCCCAGAGTCCTGGGATTGAGCCCCGCATCGGGCTCCCTGCTCAGCAGGAAGCCTGCTTCTCCCTCTCCCACTCCCCCTGCTTGTGTTCCCTCTCTTGCTGTGTCTCCCTCTGTCAAATAAATAAATAAAATCTTTAAAAAAAAAAGACTAAATTGACCATGAAGTTGTTACGATGTTAAATTTCAAAGATATTTAATTAAATATGTATTAACTTTTGTTGTAAGTTTTTTCAAATTTGAATTTTAAGAATTTTTCAAATTTCTTAAAATTTAGAGTCTCAGAGGATGTGAGGGCGATCTGGCTGCAACATCTGTCACCCCCATTGATCGCCAGGGTTGATTCAGCTGATCTGGCTGGCTAGGCGGGTGTCCCCTTCCTCCCTCACCACTCCATGTGCGTCCCTCCCGAAGCTGCGCACTCGGTCGAAGAGGGCAACCTTCCCCGATAGAGGAGAGGACCGTTCTTTGGTCAAGGGTATACGAGTAGCTGCGCTCCCCTGCTAGAACCTCCAAACAAGCTCTCAAAATTTAGAGTCTCAGATATTTTGTATATCTGATATAATCCCTTTTACAGTCCACTGAGGTTTTTGGGGGGCCCATGTGGCCAATCTCTAGAAAGAAGCCTGCTTTCAGATCACAGACCTTCTTTAGAATGTAGTCTTCAGGGAAAAAATTATTATCTCTCAAATTACATACTATTTTTTTTAAAACCAGAATAATCTTTATTAACTCAAAAAGCTGTGCTTTTTTCTTCCCCTTAATTCAATTAAACATGTATTTATTATGAGATCTTAAAAAGCATTCATTGACCATCTCACATTCTGGATGAATAATGTATCCCCTCGAGGTACAAAGAACAGCTATGGGTCTTATCGATAGATGTTAAATGTGAAAACATCCTTCGCATGCTACCACTGAGATGCACAAATAATTTTGAGGTTAATGGGTTAGGGTGGAAAGGCCACTGGAGAAGTGGGTTTCAAAAGGAAATCCTTGCTCTCCCAGATAAAAACGAGTTCCTAAAATAAGCCTTCAAGAACTATTTTTTTTTTTTTTAAAGAAGAGATCTTAGTGGGAACTTTTTTTTCCTGTTTTTTCTACTTTACCTTTTGAATACAATAATATATATAACATTTCAAACATCTAGTTTCACTATTAACTTAAGGAAAGAATCAGACTCCACTGCATGTCATAACATATTATATCTTCAAATAATTCACATAGAAATTTCAGAATCTCAGATCAGTACAATAAAATTCCCTGTTCAGGAATGCAGAGGGAAGAAAATAATTCTGAATTGGTGACAATTTAAACAACAGAATGCTTTAAGGCAATAGTTATGTTACTCTTAAGTACTAGAAGTCACATCAATGGCTTCAAGAAAAAATATAGTTTATGTGGGCTGTTGCTATATTTTATTATTTTTGAATGGAAGTAGGGCAAAGCCACCAATAATTAGAATGACAGAACACATGAAGGGTATAAAACTGCTAGATCAAACACTACCCCTAGGATCATACATGAGTTGCTTTATGAAATAGATAGACTCACTTATAGTTAAGAGGTTATATAAAAATGTATGCTGCTAGAGTGCTTTTAAAGGCTCTCAAAACCCATGTGCTTCCCTAAGTAAGCTAAACAACCACCAACAATCTTGTTCAGATTACTTATTTCTTAGAACGCCATCCCCCCATCCCTACCATCTTCCACCAAGAGGTCAGATTTCAACCAGCTCTATGTTAACATGCATTCTGGCTCAGAATAATATGCATATAAATGGTATATTCAGTATTTAATTTTCCCATCTTGCCAACAAGATGTCTTAAAATTTAAACTTGAAAAAGCAACATAGTGCTTATATGTTTAGGGATAAATGAGAATCTGAGAATTGTATCATAAAGTGTATCTGCTCTGTTAGTTTTTTGTAAGGTTAAAGTATTTTGACCTGAAGAAATACATTCTTTTTTAAGTTACTGTTTTTCATTTAATTTTCACAGAATTTTAAATGTTTTATTAACCTGAGATAATTTTTTCTAGCTCCATCCCTGTTGTTGTAAGTGCCAAGATCTCGTACTTTTTTATTGGAGTATAGTCCATTGTATAAATATACCATATTTTCTTTATTTTTTCCTCAGATCTAGGGTTCAGGTTTGGGTTCGGGTTAGGTTTAGGGACTGGTGAGGGTATGTGTCTGGTATCCTGCAGTTCAGACATCTAACCTGAGACAATTTTGTACCTCAGGTTAGGTCTCTGACCTGAGACAGGATGCCAAGTCATAAGAATTCTTTTCTTTTATTATTTCATTTTATTTTATTTTTTAAGGACGCTCCACACCCAGCTTGGAGCCCAGTGAGGGGCTTGAACTCACAAGCCTGAGATCAAGATCTGAGCTGAGACCAAGAGTCAGATGCTCAACCGACTGAGCCACCCAGGAGCCCCAAGAATTCTTTTATTTTAAAATTTTTTTTCCAAGTATTTTTTTAAATAAATAGGAAAACAAAGCTTTTTTCAGACCTGACATACAATGTTCTTTATTTATAGCAGCTCCTTCTGCCAAATTCTACTATGAAACCATATCAGTAAAGATGCCAAACTCATGCTAATCAGAGTCACTAAAGTAACCTGTATCAATTACTAAAATGTCACATCCTGTTTTCCTCCCAACTTAATCAACTTCCATTTCAGCTTCCACTGGCATAACAATTTTAAAGTATGGATATAATCAAAGCAAATTTTAATATTTCCCTTCAAATTTTGACACTTTTGCTTACAAATGAACAAGGTTGAAAAATGTTAGCAAGGAATTGTACTTGCTGAGTCAGGGATTTTATATTATGCTACTATTTGACCTAGTAATTACACTTTCAGAAATTATGCAATACTATAGTGATTATCAGAAAAGAAGAAAAGACAACACAAAGAAAGATGTTCAATACAGCATTATTTATAATCGTAAATATTCGAAAAAGACTAAGAGTTCTAGAATGGGATAAACATTTTTAGAGGCAGAGTTAAAGTGAACAATGCTCATGAGACAAATTTAAGGAAAAACAGCAATACAGAATAAGCTGAATTGTTTCAAAAATCTAAAATGCTTACCAAAAGGAAAAAGTCATATATACTATAAAATTAATGTTGTATTGCTAAAGGGTGGGAGTATAGAATCTTTACATACTTCCTTGTATTTTCGGCATTTAAGTTAAATTGATCACCTACACATTACTTGTATCATCAAAAAATTATTTAAAATGGAAGATTTATCTTTTAAAAAATCATATCTAAATTTGTTCTACTTTAGGGGGCTTCCATGTTTATTTATTTTTAAAATTTAAATTCAATTAGCCAACATATAGTACATCATTAGTTTTTGATGTAGTGTTGAATGATTCATTAGTTGCATAACACCCAGTGCTCATCAGATCATGTGCGCTCCTTAATGGGGCCTCCATGTTTAATGACAAGAGTTGGCACTGTGTATTCTCAAACAATGCATGAGCTTATTTTGCAACCCCTTCCCTAGGACTATCATTGCAACCACTCCATTTTTTTCTTAATATTATATACCAATTCTTGGTCTCTTAAATAGTAGCATTGCAAATCTTTCTTACTTTACCACAATATTTCCTAAACATCGAGCCTTCAGTTTTTGCATGTTGTCATCCAAAATCATAACTGCAAAGTAAAATATAAACAAACAAATAATATAAATCTGAATAAAAATGCATACCCTTAAAGCTTAAACTTTTCCATGTTTCCTATATCCAACCCCCAAAATTGTAGCTTCACAGGCATCTTTTAATTTCTATGAGACCGTGAACATATAACTATGCTAACATGTCTCACAAAAAATTAAAAGAGCACATGCTTTGATTCTTAACAAGATCATGAATTTTCCCTCAGAACCTCCCTTAAGTAAAGACATTGCATTTCAAACATGCTGTTAATTTCATAATCCATGTTTATATCCACTTCAACATGGCCTATTCTACCACAAACATTAAAAATATATGCAGCTTTTCAAAAATTAAAGGAAACACATCAAGTTCTAAAATACACCAAAAAATATTTCAAGCAATAAAAATAAGGTATTTAAGCCTGGGAAACCCCTTCTTCTGATTTAAAGCTTAATATCCACTTCTGAGCCTTCAAGATCCATTTAATTCCCAAATATTATCCCAGTACTTTCTGTTAAAATACACTGTTAAAATCCTGAAGATTTTAGGAGGTCAAAGCTTGAATCCACATTCAGTAACCCCTAGTGCAAGCTGGAAATGAGGATATATCATCATGTTTTAAGCTCTAATTGATCCTTTATGTGGCTTCATCCATCCAGGTTGTTCTACTGAGCGAGGCTATGAGAAAAGAAGGACACTGTCCCCAGAAAAAAGTTAATCGTTCCTTTCTTTGTGTTCCCAGAACACTTTGTTTTAAAGTTCTATTCTGACAATTAGTAGTGGTATAAATATTCCTCTCACAAGACTAGAAGGTCATTAAGGTTGGAGGTCATGCCTCACTAATGCTTGCGTCCCCAAATCTCAGTACAGTAGCCAATTTACTCTGCTCCCCTGTACAAGTATTACACCCTCAATTTCTCTAGATAAAAAATGGGAGTGATTCTTTTCTCAGTGTTGTTACAAGAATTACCTGAAGAAAAAGGTGACAAGCTTGTGTAAGGTACTCAATGAATGTGAAACTGTTACATCGCATTGAATATTTTTCACACACAAAAAATGGTTTTCTTTCCTTTCCCAAGTGGATACTGCTTTTTTATTATACTACTGAATACTACATTATGCTTCTGAATCTCTGACTAACCACAAAACATAAAAATCATGAGTCATAAAGTCACTACTTCCTTGGTTATAGATACTTTAGTTCTAACGTTTAACCTACACTGTCTGTCAGCCAAGGAGAAATTTCTGTACTGAAATTTCATGAGGCATCAAAGCTTAACTCTTTCTTATAGCTCAGTATAAAAATACCGAAAGGGAAATGTATTTAACATCTCCCACAAACATCAGCCCCTAAAAATGGCTCAACACAAAGTAATTTTTCCAATAAAAGGAGCAAGGATGACAGAACCGTTCAAAGTGAAGATTTCACTAAAGCTGGGTTCACCTTCCCATGCTTGGAAAAGTCACTGACTTCACAGAATATCTATTTCTGCCCTAAAAAAAAAAAAAAAAAAATCTAAAGTTTCTTTTTACAAATACATCTGAGAGGCTAAGTCAAATGATCCACATTTCCTTAACTAATCACTGTCCTAGAAAGAAAAGACAGTATTTTTATGTCAGAGAGGCAGAGGATATATATTTTATATATTCTCTATATTTTAGAATTTACATGCAAATAGAAACTATATGTTGGAACCGTTTTCTGTCTCCCAAAGATGGGTTTTCCTCATAAGTCTATTAAGCTAAATTGTGTGACCTTATGCATATAAAATAACTTCTGTTCTTCATATTCCCTGAAATAGCAGCACACGACTAGCTAAGACTTAGTTCAGTCTGGTTACTGGCAAGTGCTTGTGTTAATGCTTCAGTGTGTTACATCATGACCCTATGAAGCATGGGGAATTATTATTCCCATTTAGAAAGAAGGAAATCGAATTTCTGAAAAGTTAGGTGACTTGTATAAGTTATGCAACTAGCAAGTGGAGCCCATGGGATATTACTGAACTGTTATAGCCACTACCAGCAATCTATAGCAAAAACTTAAAATATATTATATCCCATTGTCACATACCACCAGCATGGATGAAGTGATTTCTCTATTTAGAATCTTTACTTTTTATTTTTTTTGAATCTTTACCTTTTATACTTATCTTTGGCCAACAAGGTTCAGAAGCCTTATCATCACTCCTAAATTAAACGGTAGCATATATATAATGGGAAACACTGCAACTTTTGTAGCAAAAACACACAAAGAAACAAACAAAATAAAACGTTGTCTATAGGAGCAATCAGCCGTATTACCTCAAGAAAGTGATTCAGTCTCTCCGGGCACCAGTTAACTCATCTTTAGAATGGTAATGATACCTCTGAATTAAATACAATTCATCATTAAATGAAATGATGTATGCAAAGTACTCTGCACCTAGCAAGGATTCCATACATATTAATTTCACAGCCATATCCTTAATGTACCTTATAAATACTATTTTCTTGGTTATGACAGCCATTTAGAACATGTCCTTGGAAGTCAACAATCTTATTTTTGATCCAATTGACTAATAACAAAATTAAGGCATTTATTTATAGTACAAAGTATTCATTCAATCAAATACTTTTAAGCACCTACTGTGCAGTTTGATTCGCATTAGACATGGAAAAATACCAAATTTATTAACCTTGCATATTCCAAATAATCAGGGTCATTTCTCACCATTGTATCCTGGAACACTTTTTCCTGCTTGTCCTGGAGGAGGTGTTTTAGAATTACCTAATCCAATGCATGATGCCGTAATTGGGGATCCAGTCTCTGGAGAAATAAATATTATTTATCATTTAATATTTAAACTCGAGATCATGATGTTTCTTCGATGTATGCCCTGCCCCCTACCCCCAAGTTTGTCATAGACTTTAACTGCACGAGGAAGAGATGAGGAGTGGAAATGTATTCTTTAAAAATGAAAAAAAGATCCAGTAATCGATACCAGATCCAACAGTTTTAAAACCTAAGGACACAAATTGAGAATAATGTATAGAGTAACACTTCTAAAGAAAAGAGAGATCTCTCTAATGTTCTTGGTTATGAATCAACAGGCATGAAAAATACAGAATTATGTGGCTGTGAGAATTTTGCAACACATGATAAAAACTCAAAGATCTTTAGAAAAGTGCTCTCTCTTAATTCACCTAAAGATTTTTATCATGGTAAATAATAGCTACGTGCAAGATATTTGTTATTTATGGCTTAATTTCTGGAATAAATAACCCAAGGATTTGGGGGAATATATGAACAATATCAACTCTAATTTTGAAAGAACTACAGCTACCTAGAGAGCTTGCATCTACAGCTGAACTTAACAATGCTCTATCAAATTGCTCTCAGTCTGTTGTCCCTGGGCTCCTAGAAGGCAGGAAGACAGGGCAAGCAGGCAGGCAGGAAGGGAAGAAGGAAGGAAAGAAGGACATTTATGCTATGCTGATTATTTCATCAAGACCAGAGACTTTGCCACAATTAACTTGCACGGATGAACAAACATGATAAAATCATTTTCTCTGTCTCAAATTGTTAATAGTCAGAACAATGGCAGCTATTATATGATAGCCATACATTCTGAAAGTGATTATTTTTATGGACAAATGCATTTGTTATTATGGGTGAACACAAGTTTGGGGTTAGCATAATCTTTTAAATATGAGATTTGCATGTGCGGAGGAGCACAGTAAGAGGTACTGACTGAAAAGTTTTGGAACTAGTGGCTTAATATTATACACACAAACATACAGTATGTATACCCAAGGGATTAACTGCCAAACCAACTGAATCCAAAGTAATCCAAAAAATTAAAAAACATCTATCTTCCTAAGGACTCAGAATGTATTCTTTCCACTATGGCTTCTACCATAACTTATCATACATTTATATCACTTTAGGATGGTGGGAAGAATTTATTACTCTTCTTTACTTTCCAGAGTAGTTCAGTTTATTATTCACATTTTATGGATGGTGGTTCAGCTGGCATCAATAACAGAAGATGGACTCTGGAACATGAAAATACAGTTCCTAAGTCACAGTCCAGTGCTTAAGATGCTAAGCGATATGGTCACCACTGAGGAGAAGCAGCAAGTCACCAGAGCAGACATTTCTGATGTTAACAAAGAACTTTCAAATGGCTTCATACCATGACAAATGTTTCAAATGTGTTCATACCATGACAAAAAATGGACAGGTATTATACAAAATGGCATTCCGTCAGTCACGCAATCTCCCTGTCTTCTCTCCCTACAGCACAAGCAAAGCAGGGAAGGAAACCCCCATATCCGGAAAGGTTAGCAACATTTTCCCCTTTGCCTTTTTAAAAATGTCTCAGTAATGACTCAGCTGTCCTCCAAACTGACAGAGACAAGAGCGGTGTGGTACCGGGAAGCAACCCCCTGTCGAGTTTCAGTGAGGAGCTTAAAGGAAGGTGTGCTGACAGAGCAAGGTGACTACAGCCACAGAAGCTACTAGGACACAGGACACAGGGAGATGTCCCCCTTATGATGCTTCTGTTCCCCCTCACGCCCTGGGCGGGGGAAGCAACTGCTAAAGCACATCTTCTGTGTTCAAAGTGTGTCTTATCAGGTTTAGTTTATCACCAGTGGCACTCCAATCATTTCAAGTTCAAACTCTCTACATTTCTTAACACCATGAAGCCTCTCAGCAACGTGTCAACAGATGGCTCTAGAACCTACAAACGAACCTTCCGGAAGATGGCTTCAGGACCTGCTGTCTGAAAGAGAGACAAACACAAAACCACCACAACGAAACTCTAACTGCACTCTGCTGCATCTCATGTCCCTGTGGATTCTTAGGAAAAATGCGGGCACTCTGTTCTTCCTCTAACACTGGGAGAAAGGAGGTACGGGAAGAGGAAGCGAGAACAAAACCTCGTCTTACGCAAAGACACAGGAATGAGTTAGTGACGTGGTCAGCTTCTACTGCCTGCATCTTTGTATAGTGATTACATAGTTACCATCTTTGCACCCTCAGCTGTTTTGTTATAATTAATGATTGTAAGACATATGAAGAGCACGTTCTTCTACATGATTACTTTGACTGAATTTTAATGGCAATAAAAAGGATTATCCAGTAGTAGACAAGTAGACAATATAAGTCATTCGGGTATCTCGCTGACTTTATATTCATTTGGGGGTTTGGAAAAAGAACTGTTGGTAGTGACATGTAAAAGATACATTCAGGCGAAATGACAGTTCCTCGGCTCCACACAGGGAGCCATAGTTAGGACCAAAGTGGGATGAGAACTTTGGTTTTCTCTCTTTATATCTCTGAACATCCTGAGACCCAAAGAATGTACTGATCCACCTGCACGGCAAGTGCATGCCTGTGTGCTCACACATCCATGTGCTCACACATTCACGCACACAGATCACAACCACCCCGGCTCTCAGGCTGGTCCATGTGCAGAATAGGCTTCTGGCTGGGACAAGCCCTTGGGCATACTGCCGGCCTTAACCAAACTTCTAAGGATTCCCAAAGCCCCACTGCAAATATGTTCTAAAATCATCTGCTTCACACTGTCCAGGCTATAATTAACCGGCTAGCAGTTATCTAGGGAGATGGGAAATCCGGATGTCACCCTGTGACCGGGAAATAGGTGCAAACTAGAACATTCTCTCTGAAGAACAGAATTGGATGGTTCATTTGGAGAAATCTTTCCAAAGATACCTAATCTTAGAAAGAGACACCCAGGAAGAATATGGCAGGGAACTGAATGAAGCTTGTGAAGAATGCGTTATTTTGGTACATTTATATTCATACTGCATTAACGGCGAATGCAGACACTTCACTTTACTGTCTCTCTACCTCATTGCATTAGTGAACTGTTATGTAAAGGAATTTTCCTTAAAACTGCTAACTCTAAAGGAAGAAAAGGAATGAAAATGAATATACTTTTTTTTTCAAATATGAATTATGCTGTGTACTATGCTAAGTGCTTTTTGTTTATATTATGCGTTTAATCCAACTACATAGGGAGACAGGGAGAAAAGGGAATATTCTTCTCACAAATGAAAACTACTAAGGACTAACCTAGAAAATTTAAACCATTTGCACCGGTTTGCATAGTTCTTACAGACAAGGAGAAGAATGAAATAGACAAGTGTACCACTTGTGAGGTTCTTAGGAAGAATACAGAGGGCTGAAGAGAAATCACCCAGACTGTGTCTCAGAGGAAGAAAAATCCTAGCAATAGAGAGTGACCCGGTCTCTCATATTCGCAAATGGAGGTACTGGTGGGACATATCCCTTATTAGCAAATATTTACTGAGCAGCTATTACATGATAGGTGCTCTCATTAGAACTGGGGATAGAATAGTAAACAAAAGTGACCACAATTCCTACGGTCAAGGAGCTCACATTCTAGTTGGAAAGACAAACAATAAAAAACATAAATAAACCATATGGCATGTTAAAGAGTGATGAGCACTAAGAAAATTTTTAAAAACATAGACAGGGAATGAGATGTGATGGGGAAGAATTGCAATTTTTGACTGGGGGGCCAGAAAGGCCTCCCTGAGAAGGCAACATCTGAGTAAAGACCTGAAACGAGTGAGGACCTATGTCACATGACATCTAAGGACAAAGAATCCACGAGAAAGGAACCACAACTGCAATGGTCCTGAGGTAAGCTTATTCCTGGAGTGTTTCAGGAATAGTTAGGCAGCTGGTGTTACTGAAGCAGAATAAATGAGGAAAGTATTAACAGGAAATAAGCTCAGATAGGTAGTGAGGAAACAGATCATTTAAAACTACTTTGAAGTCCTTGTAAGACCTTAAGCTTTCAGTCTGAGTGATCCTGCAAGCTAATGAGGGCTTTTGAACAAAAGGTTAATGAAGCACAACAATGCACATAAAATTTATGTAAATATTTGTACAACATCCATTGTCTGCAATCAGGTTTATTTTAGTTGGGGTTTTGAGAGAGATGTGTATGAGAAAATTCATGGACAGACAGAGGCTGTATTAGAATAGTTGTTTCATATTGAGATTTCTGTGGCTTCCTGAACATGAAGAACATGAGAATTTATTCTCAGATGAGAATTCACTAGACTAGCAGAAAGACTAGGGTGCAAGGGAGACAGATTGCCCACAAAAGCCAAAGACAATCATTTTTGTTACATAAGTGTTAGTGTGTGTATAGATCAACACAACATTTCTCAAAGGCAATGTGGCAATTATAAAAATCCTTAAAAAGGTACATACTCTTTAACCCAGTTAAGGGATATATATATATAAAGGAATATTTGTAGGAGTTCACAAACATTAAGCAGCAAGGATATTTATCACAGTATTGTTTATATTAATGTTTAGAAGACTGTCCAAAAATAGAGAATATTCCATATTAAGAATTATGCATAGCTATTCAAACAACATAGAAAAATGTCTGATAGGAAATAATTCTCACAAAATATTGTTTAGAAAATCTGTAAAACAGAATGCATAATATGATTCTTTTTTGTAAATACTATGCGTTGAACAAAAATATGTATCCTGGCAAGATACACATGAAAATATAGGCAGAAGTTATTTATGAATGGCGAGCAAAGGGGAAATTATGTTGAAAAAGTCAGAAGGCTACATCCACAACTTTGAAATTTACCCACGGTGGAGATTAAGGATGACTGCAATTTATTTGAGCCTCATCCTCCTGAAAGGTGGGACCTATGTCCTCTCTATTGGAATCTGGGCCACTTTTTGATGACACTGAGAGAAAAGAGTGGAAGTGATTCTTTGTTTCCAGGCACAGGCCT